TGCAGTCTCAAATTTTAATGAATAACTTCCTGTAAAGTACACGCCAACTTCTGGTGAAATCATTCACAATTTTTTTCTTTTTTCTTTTTTTTTTAATTTTGGAGATGTCTTTTTTTTCCTTTTTTTTGATGATTTATTTATTTATTTATACAAGCACTGGGTACAGTCAGAAGCGCAGGAGGGTGAGAGAATTCACCAGAGCCAGAGCGGGGAGCAGAGCAGGCCGAAGGACCAAAGTACACTGCTGAGAGGAGCAGCAGGCGGCAGGAGAGGTCTGCGCGCCTTGTGGGACCCTCCTCCAGTGGCAGGGGAGCAGCTGAGGATCGAACCGGCACCACAGAGGCTGTGGGCAGCTTCGCAACCCAGCGCTCAACCACTGCGCCACCAGGGAGGCCCAATTTTTTTTTCTTTTTATAAAAATATTCACTGATAAGAACTATTAACAGTGGTTTTCTTTGGACAGCTGCAAGTTAGAAAATAGTTGCCTAACACCATTTTATTATTTCTTTAATATGAAAATAACCACTTTCTAAAAAAAACTTATGAAACTTTAAAAAAAGCATTTTTCAAAATTTTAATTTGCCAGAGAATTTTTTCTATTATATTGTTTTCATTGAAAAAACTTAAATTTCTTGGTCATGGATAACATCCTGTATGAATAAAATACACTTGTGGCCTTGTCTTATTTCTGGGGTTAAACTATTCATTTGATCTTGGGTAAGCAACTTAGTTTCTCTGTTGTCTGTCAAATGATCAAATATAAAAGGTCTTTTCTACCTACTCAAATAATCTCTGATTATGACAAAAGAACTTCAAATCTTTCCATGGGCCACTACTTTAGATCAATGACTGTGGCATCTTGGTTTGCCAAGCTCTTTAAATTCCTACATAAAAACACATAGAACATCTATATAGCAAAACCAAATGCCTAGATCACAGTGTCCCCTTTAAGAATAAGCACAACTAGGTAAGCACAAACCAACACCATCCGTAAGACTGAATGGTGCCTGTGTGGGTAGAAGCACAGGGACCAAAGGACCTGAGAACTGGAAAATCTGAAAAATAACCAGTAAGTATTCCTGTGAATGTGAGGTAGGTCAACTGGAAAACAGCTGCTAAAATAGAAGGGGTTTTGCTGGAGCTCTGAATGAGTGAGTGAGTAAGGATCTGATGAGGTTAAAGCAGTTAGTCCCTATGAACTTTCAAGACTAGACCCAGGACTCCCTTTTAGGAAGAGAAACTGCTTGGAATAGTATCAAAAGTTAACAGGATGGGGTAACAAAGTCAAAAGGATATATCCAGGTTGGAGCAAGAGTGAAAAGAGCCAGGGACTATCAGAAAGTGGGCTGCCACATTTTTGACTACATGAAAATAAGAGACAAATAAACTCTACAAACTTAAAAAAAGTCACCTTAACCTTGCCTCCTAAAAGTTCACATAAAAATGAAAATAGGGGCCTACCCATTGGCACAGTGGTTGAGCGGTGGGTTGCAAAGCTGCCCGCAGCCTCTGCAGCGCCAGTTCGATCCCCGGCCACCGGGTGAGGGTCCCACATGGCGCGCAGACCTCTCCTGCCGCGCCCACTGCTCCCCTCAGCAGTGTACTTCCTTGTTCTGTTCCCTGCTCTGGCTCTGGTAAAATCTCTCACCCTCCAGCGCTTCTGACTGTACACAGTGCTTGTGCTTGTATAAATAAATAAATAAATAAATCTTTAAAAAAAAAAAAATGAAAACAGGAGGGCCTCCCCGGTGATGCAGCGGGTTGAGCGATGTGCTGTGAAGCTGCGTGCAGCCTCTGCATCTCGGGTTCAAGTCCCGGTCGGCCAGGGAGATTCCTACATGGTGCGGCAGACCTCTCCTGTCTCACCCACTGCTCCCCTCAGCAGTGTCTTCAGTCCGTCTGCCTGTTCTGCTCCCCCCTCTGTCTCTGGTGAATTCTCTCACCCTCCCGTGCCTCTGGCCTGTATGCCAGTTTTTGTATAAATAAATAAATCTTTTTTTAAAAAAAAATAATTAAAAAAAAGAAAACAGGAAAGTATGAACTGTTAAATTCCAACAAAATTGTAATAACGAGGAAAAAATAGCAAAATAGCATCACTATAACCCTTGAAAGCATAACAAAAATGGACCAGAAATAATTCAAAGCAATAGCCTATTTCAAAACAAACTACAATAGTTTAAGGAAAAGACACAAAAGAGCATAATTTAGAATTAGGAAGACCCAGCAGTGAGGTGATAGAATACAGAAAAGAATCAGGAACAAAAAAAAAAGAAATGCATCTCAGAAACAAAGAGTAAAGTAGAAGTCATATGAGGGAATAAATACAACATGTATTCTAAGAGACATAAAAGATGAATAACAGGGAAAACAAAGTAAAGAGAGAGAGAGCAAGAGTGAGGGGGGGTTAGGAGTTGGGTGAGGATTTGCAATGGAGATAGATATTGAAGATAGGCAAAGAAGATCTAATATACAGATACAATAAGCATCCTTGAATATAAAAACCAAAGCAAGGGTACAAAACTAATATTAAACACTGAAATGTTTAGGACCTCCCCTGGTGGCGCAGCAGTTGAGCGCTGGGCTGAGAGGCTGCCCGTAGCCTTTGCAGCACCAGTTTATTCCCCGGCCGCCAGTGAGGGTACCACAAAAAACCAAACAAACAAACAAACAAAACACTGAAATGTTTAAATGTAATGTTTAAAAAGTACCTGAAATTAAGAAAAATGGTTTTATAAAAGAATACACAGCAAATATAGAATATTAAAGTAGAATGACTAAAATTAAAAAAGATAAAAATGCTATGGGAGTCTATAATAAGTGTTTTGTGAGGGAAAGAAAATCATGTTATCAGACTTTGAGAGTAACATGCTATCCCCAAAGAAAATAAAGCAATATATTCAAGTAAAGAAAAGATGACCCAAGGGTTTTATATCCAGCAAAAATATCTTTCAAATATGAAAGGCACAAACACCATGAAAAAACTTGGTGAACATTATTCCCATGAATCCTCCCTGAGATATCTACTAGAAAATAAGATTAGGCAATCAGTCTACTAATAAACATATACACACACATCACATATACAAAATCAATCAGCCAGCCGACAAACCAACATATATACATAAATGTAATTAAATAGAGGGAAACTCACATTAAGGCCATGATATTAAATATATAGTTACATGTGGAAGACTAAATTAGGACTAAAAGGGAGACTATAAAATGCAATTTCTTGGACTTAGTAAACTACAATAACTTAGAGGAATGAAGAGAGTACAGTGGACACTTAAAAAAAATTCTCAGTAACTATATTTGTCATAGTAATAGTATTAAGAGACTTTGTAAATAATATGGAACAAAACAAATCCATAATTATGGACTATCCAATTCGATTATCTTCTATAACATTAAGAAGCAGGATTCTTAGTATGAAAGAAAGGAAATAGAAATAAAATATGGAAGATGATAAATAAAAATGCCCTATAATCTGAAACTGAACTGGGGAAATTAGTATGAACTTGTAAAGTATTTTTTAAAAGATTTATTTTTATTTATTTAAGCATACAAGAACTGGGGTGTAGGCCAGAGGTGTGGGGGATGAGAGAATTCACCAGAGACAGAGTGGAGCAGAACAGGCAGATTGACTGAAATACACTGCTGTGGGGAACAGCTGGCAAGACAGGAGAGGTCTGCTGCTCCCTGGCCGGGGATCTAACTCATGCCACAGTGGCTGGCAATAGCTTGATAGCACTGAGACTTGAACCCCTGCACCACCAGGGAGGCCCCCAAGAAATTGTAAGGCATTTCATATTAATATTCATGCATACATACATATATACATATAGAAAATAAATAATTTCTTGTCTCCAACAAAAAAAGAGGCTCTAAAACAATGAGCAACTGTAAACAATAAGTAACCATTTGCACCCAGACTGTGGTCTTGAATGACCATTTCTTACTGAGAAAAAGCAGGGGGATGGTTATCCAGGAATGTACTAAATGAATCTGGAATAATTTCTAGGTTTATGCCAGATGACTCAAGAGCCAACATGAATATTCTCACTGGCTAAAAACTGTATAATTTGAGTTTCAACAAGGAAATTAATTAGTTGATTGAAATCTAAAAATGTTTAATTAACTTTAGAATAGTATTTCAAAAAATGATTGGGCAATTTCAGAAGATCACAGGGAATCAGTTCATGATCTTGAAAAGCAGTAAATAAAAAATTAAGTGTTCATCCTGCTTTTCTCTATGAACTAAACCACTGTTGAAACAAATTATAGATGATGGGAGAGATCTGTATAAAAAACATTCCAATGAATACTGAGAAAGAAATGTTAGAACTAAAACACAATGATTTTAAAAGTCCTAATGCATTAATGAATTTGGGTACTAAGTTATCAAAAACAACTAACATCTCAGACAATAAGACAAACAGACATTATGTGCTTCCCATTGAAAGAAGCAAATATGCTCCATGGTCTCACCAAAGGTACTTGGCTTGAACTGACTGACTTCTGGATCCAGCTGCCAATTTGCAGGATGTACTGCAGACAGGGGAATGTGTTGAACTGTACCATGAGTTTGCAACAAGCAACATCCAGGTCAGAATACTACAGGTCAAATGGTCAGGTTTTAATGGATTAAATATAAAGCAGACAAAGAATGGGGGACAAACCAGTAGATTAAGAGAGTCAAAGGAGTCACAGCTTTTAAATGGACAAGAGTAAACAACTCTCTAGGGACATATAAGCTTCAGTGATAAATTGTAAAGAAATACCAGAAATACTAAAATAATTTTACAGTAGTGCTCATCTTCCTTGGAGGGAAAATCGGGTTGAAATAGGATATAGGAGGGACTTCTGGGATACTGGCAAATTCTACTTTTGACCTGGACAATGGTTACATGAAAGTTTGCTCATTAAGCTATAATTTATTTTTATGAAATTTCCAAAGTTATGTTTTATTTTAAAACAATAAAAAATTCCAGATCCCTTACCTGTGCCTTGGCCAGTTTCTTTTCCAGAAGGTCCCGTTCCCGTTCTGTTTGCTGCAGACGTTTATTAAGCTCTACTATATCTCCCTTTAGTGATGCCAGGGCTGCCAAATGGAGCTGAGGAGACAGAAAGAAAGGCACTCAAGATCAGAGCCTTCAGGAGAAAATTCATTTCCTTTCCTCCAATTCCCTGTAATTAGTCTGCTCATATAATATATATATATATAATTTGAGTATACATATTATCTGTATTATATATATTATATATTATATATAGTATTATATATATATATAATATTAAATGGGATATGTAGGGTACTCAATCTGAGAAGACAGTTATAAATCAGGTGTCACCTGATATGGTTACCTCAAGTGCAGTGGGGGGAAAACTGTTAGGTATGGGCAGGGAACTAACTTTGGATGGTTACATCAGGTCAGAGAGCAACATTCTTCACTCTAAGGGCTTTTTCTGGGTGACTCAGCAAGCATGGAGTTAAGAGCTGAGGTGGGGCTACTGATTCTCAACAAAGAAGCAAGAAAAATGCAGAACCAAATTAGCCTTTTTACCTTTGGGAAATATGAAAGTTCAATAGGGCAAATCCTTATTTTAGTTTTTTTTTGTAATTCAATCACCCTTGTACTTGGTGCTTATATAGCAGACCAAGGAACTGAATATTCAGAAAAAATGGGAGAATTCATTTTTTCAGATGGTCTCCTCTTAAAGTTGATCCATTTGTTTTCTTGCTTGTATGTGCTAATGAAGTAAAGAACTTTAGCACTGCATATCAACAGCACTGAACGTCATAGAAAATGAGACAACCAGACATTACATGCCTCCCTCTACTTCCTTCCTGACTGATTGCCAGACAGATTTGATTACCAGAAGCTTTGAGGTAGCAGGCACTCCAGCAGGAGTAGAACCAAAACTCTGATAAATGTTGCTATGAACAGACAAACCAAGAATCCATTCAGTTATCTTTTCCTGGCCAACTCTGTCAGGTTAACTGACAGAGGTTAAGAGAATGTTCTTCAACAGATAAACCAGAGTACCATGAACTTCCAGGAGCTCAATATGTGCAGCTTTCAGGACTGAACACTGGACTTCCACCACCAGTATAGGAGACACACACACACACACACACACACACACACACACCCCTTAAAAATGAGATTATTTTTAAAACCATTCAACTACAGTTCAATCTGCAGTGCCGGTTCGATCCCCACCGGCTGCGGAGACACCCACAATGCGTGGCAGACCTCTCCTGTCTTGCCTGCTGCTCCCCTCAGCAGTTTATTTCAGTCAGTCTGCCTGTTCTGTTCCCCCTCTGTCTCTGGTGAATCCTCTCATCCTCCCGCACATCTGGCCTGTACCCCAGTTCTTGCATAAATAAATAAATCTTTTTAAAAAAACCACCATTCAATTCATTGATCCTAGAGCACCACCCATACTTCTTTGTCCTGAGTCTCTACTTCTCATCTGTCTTCTCCATCTCTCCTAGGTAGAGTTCCACTCATCACCTTAGTTGAATCCCGTATTGCATTTGGGTGATGACTAGACTCACAACAAACCTGTCTCTGTAGGTTTTTTGTAGCATCTGCCAAGAGGGATTTAAAGTAAGAAGTGAGTAAATAAATTTGATTTTTAAAGTAGGATACAGTCTACAGCACACAACTCAACTTTGAAGATTTACATTTAAGGTTTAGAAAAATTCTCTTTTCTGTGAACTGCCCCTTCACACTACCTGTTTGCTGTTAGGCTTAACAAAGATATAGTAGGAGAATAGGAGAGAGAAGACTAAGGTTTCAAAACTGTTGTTTTTAACAGAAATGAATATGACTTCACTTAATTGCATTGGGACTACCAAGTAACAGATCAATAGTTGATTTGAGTTAGGAATGCTTGAAATTTAAAAAAGAAAATGTCAGGCAATCTGGTAGTATTTGCTCTCTTTTGCAGGGTTATGGCTACTTAGAAAAGTCACTTTGGGTTTCAGACACAAGGTTATGTGTGATGAAATCTCAGCACAACTGCCTCAATGCTCCCATCGTATAATTTTTTTGAGGCTGTTTTGCTTCTAGTATAGTAGAGAAGCATACAAATTTATCCCTTAGATAATATGACCTCCTCTGCCTCAGAACTACCAATCTGAGACTTTCCTTCACTATGGCCTTTTATATTATTATGCCAAGTCTTGGGAGAAGATTCATCACTTTACCTCTGGCCAGAAGGATGAAAAACATAGAAATGAAATACTCTTTAAGAAACATGGGGTAGGGACAAAGATCCCCATTGCACTGTCACCTTTATACTTCTTTCTTACTACTTCTGGAGGAAAGGGTTCCTTGATAAGGTTGAGGAAGAATTGGGAGGAAACCTGGGAGGAGACTTTACAGTTCACTTTGACTTCATGAACTCAGCCAGATGGGCAGGCACAATGGATGCTGTTTCATTTTGCCTTTACAATATCAATTTCAGTTTCTTGTTACATTTTTAACTGGATGCCTGTTTATCTGATATTTTATCTGTACCTCCCTTTGTTGAGTACCATTTCATTGTAGGATTGTCTCCCAATCATTTATTTTGAGCCTATATTTCTTTCTGGAGCTAGCAGAAAGTTGGGTTTTGTTTTCTGACTAAAGCAGCCATTCTGTGCCTTTTTATTGGTGAGTTCGATCCATTTTCATTTAGGGTGATTATAGATATATGAGGATTTGCTACTGTCATTTTATCTTTACTTTTCTTTTTCTATTTTCTTGTTCATTTTTTAATGGATTTTATTCTTTTGATCTAGATAGGATAGCTCCAGTCAGCATTTCTTGTAAGAGAGATCTTAGTGTTGGCAAACTCCTTAAGCTCTTTTTTTGTCTGGGAAGGTCTTTACTTTTCCCTCATTGCTGAAGGACAGTCTTGTAGAATATAATGTTCTTGGTGGGAAATTTTTTTTAATTTAACTTTTATTTTTTTATTCCCCATACAATTACAACCCCCTTATTTTGACCCCAATCCCTCCCCTCCCGCCCTCTACCCCCCATAGAGTGTCTCTGGTTCATAGTTTTTTGTTGATTTTGATTTTCACTTACTTATAGTTATTCTTTTTCCTGGTCCCTTATTTAAGTTTTCTAGATTCCTGCTATGAGTGAGACCATCCGGTACTTTTCTTTTTCTTTCTGGCTTATTTCGCTGAGCATGATCCCTTCCAGCTCCATCCATGTTGCTGCAAATTGCATGTGTTTATATTTTTTGAATGCTGAGTAATATTCCATGGTGTATATGTACCACATCTTCTTGATCCAGTCATCTATTTTTGGGCATTTGGGCTGTTTCCAAAGCTTAGCTATTGTAAATAGTGTTGCTATAAACATAGGGGTGCAGGTGCTCTTTGGAATGGATGTTTCTGTGTCCTTTGGGTAAATCCCTAGGAGTGAAATTGCTGGATCATATGGAAGCTGTATGTTTAGTAGGTCAAGAAATCTCCACACAGCTCTCCATAGTGGTTGGACCAGTTTGCACTCCCTTGGTAGGAATTTTTATTTTTAAGTATTTTGAATGTATCATGTCATTCTCTTTTTACCTGTAGGGTTTTTTTTTTGGGGGGGGGGAACCCTTGCCTGCTGCCGGGGAACAAACTGGCGCTGCAGAGGCTGAGGGCAGCCTCACAGCCCAGCGCTCAACTGCTGCTCCACCACGGGAGGCCCAGGGTTTCTTTTTGCCTCAGGTTTCTTCACAAATCTTACAGGAGTATCTTTATTGGTTGCCTGTTTTATTCCCCTAAACAGTTTCAATGTTCTTTGTCTTGAATTCTTCACAGTTTTATAATAATATGTTTTGGTGTAGATGTCATTATAGCTAGATAACTAGGTATTCTTTTAATTTTATAGAATTGTATATTTAGTTCCTGTAGGGTAAAGAGTTCTCAGGCTTTTCTGCCACCATTAGGATTGCCTGCCTGATGGGGCACCTGCTATTGTTACATTGTTGCAAACTGACTTATTTACTTCTGTGGGCCATGGGAGTAGTATTGAGATAGTCACCTGAGAAGCAGGAGAGAAGCAGGAGGGAGAAGGGGAGAAAGCAAGCTTGAAGAGAGAGAGAGAAGCCCAGAGTTAAGACTTGCTGGGGGCTTGGAGGCCATCCCTGCCTGCCCTGTACCTGGTTGCCACACTACATGTAAAGCTCAATAAAAGCCTGAGAAAGCCACTGAGGGCTCCAGGACTCCTTCTTTACCCAATCTGTATAGATGATAGAAACCTGCTCAGAGCCCTTCCTGCCCCTACAGTACTTTTTTAAATGAGTTGTTTGTCCTCTTTCTCAATTCCCCTTCTGGGATACCCTTTATACTTATGTTGCCTTTTCCTAAAGGAGTTGAGTAGTTCTTGATGTGTTTTTTTCATTTTTTCTTCATATTTCCTCTCTTTTCTTCCACCTGAATTTGTGCATTATTATCTTAAATGTCACTGATTTGATCCTTCATTTGGCCCAGTCTGTTTCCATAGTTTTCTGCAAAAAGATGGGACTCACCCATCTTTGTGAGTTCTCAGTGAGCCTCACAAGTTCTGAGAGGTGAGGGAAGTGGCCTGCAGGCCAGCACAGTGTCCATGTTCCTTTTCTTTCATTAGGGACCTGGTATTTCCCATCACCAGCGTGTGGTATGCCTTCACACTAGCTCTCCCCTTGTCAGGGTCACTGGCCTAGTAGCTGTGGGCACAGTTTGTATGGCAAATTCCTGTGCTAAACCACAGCCTTTACTATGTCTTCTTCGTCTCTGATGTTTAAGAGCTGTCCTAATTTTGCCACATGCCAGAGAACTCTCTACATGTAATATACTACTGGCTAATCTAGATGATCCTTTGGGAAATAAAGCAAGGAAACTCCTCTGAAGCCATCTTGGATGCCTCTGGTTTTTATTTTTGAATGAAACATTACTTGACTAATATTTCACCATTGTGTTGTTTGATGAAGACAAATTTGCTTAACTGCTGACAACTTAAGTATTTTGTAGTCTGGAACTGAGTGAGCAGGCTCATTGTGACATCCTCCCTTGGTGGTTTCTCCTGGGCTGAGGAAAGTTATCCTTATACATTAGCCACAATACAGACTATCACACTTAAAGATG